AGTTTGGTGTCATCGCTATCGGCATATATCTTTCTTACCTTGCTAATTATTGCTGTTATATGGTTTGTGGTATTGAGTATAGGTAAAAAAAGTAATCAGTTGTGGGATATGTGGATCGGGTAACTGAGACTATCTATTTGAACTTGGATATTATTCGTATACAAAAATATAATAGTTTTTAATCATGTCTAGTAACAGAGTTAGTGCTAAAGCACCTATTTGTTGTAGTTGTAAGGAACCATCATCACCATTGTATACAGACTGTATTATTACACATTCCTTTATGGTAGTAGGGATGAGATTTCGTGGTGGCCATAAGTTTAAGAAATCAGATATCATCACTCTTGAACTGGAGCCTTCTAATGCATATGATAAGAATGCGATAAAAGTTATAATAGATGGCATTCATAAAGCCTATGTGGCAAAGAATGAGAATGTAAGTATAGGAGATTTGATGGAAAAATATCCAAATTATCGAATTACCGCTCATGGGAAAAAGAACTATAATCAATCGGCGTCTTTAAACCTCGAATATCCTTGGGTGGTTTGTGGAAGATGTCGTGATACACTACAAACATCGAGAGACTATGACTATAGTTACTAATGGATCTATTTGAACTTCGTTATTATTTATGTACGAAAAAATAATCTACTGCATAAGTATCTTAGTGGAGTCTGGCAATTCTAACCAAGATCACTTAACAATATAGGTCAACAATCTCGTCAATATCTGCTTCCAATGGGTTGTCTTTTTTACTGTTCTGCATAATAGATAATGCTTGAAGACGTGCAATCTTAAGGCCAATTACCCTGTACCATGTATTCTGGAAATCTATTAATATCTCACACTCCGATTTCAGATTAAATTGAAATATATATTCTTCCAAAATCGTAATATCAGGCTTGTATTTCTGTGCCTGCACAATTAATTCGTATATCGCATTTCTATAATCCACATCAAGCTTAGACAATTTTGAAAGTAAATTTGATAATTTCGAACGAGTAGAACCCGCAATCTTATCTAATGCACTAAGGTAATCATTATATCTCATAGAGATGCCTGAAGGCCTAGTCATGTCAGCTTCACTAATACCAGAACATATTTTTTCAGCGTGAGTAGTAACATCTTTCCATAAATGGGATATAATAACTTCTTCTTTTTTAGGACCATCTCGCAAATCTTTAATATAATTTTTAGCCAATTTCTGCGATTCCATATCTTTGATATTTGCTATTTCATCTTCATCTAAATCCTTAACATTTTTCGATTTCTTCTCTTTTGATTTCTTTTTACGATCCAAGGCTTTTGCCAGAGATCTGGGTGATGGTTGGTATTTATCATCATAATTTATAAAACGGGCACAGAGGACAAATAAACTCTTGGTATAATAATCAATATTTATTTTCTTGTTAAACCTTTTTACCACATCTGGATATTCCATACAGTCTCCTTTTTTCTGTGATATTTTTTTTCCGCAATTATCATAAATCTCTTCAGATATCACTACAATGTAACTAAATCGTTCACCGGGTTTGGGAACTTTATATAAATACGAATTGACAGGTAAACCCTTTTTTATAAGCTGTTGATTTTCCAATACCTCGTGACTATATCTAGCTCCCATCCGTGAAACAAACTGTTCTACAGAAATATTTCCCTGCTTACCCTCCTTTTTAGGTCTCCATATACATGTCTGGATAAATTCATCATAATCTAATTTGGAAAGTTTTTATACATTTTCCCAAAGAATTTTTTCAACAATCTGATGCATCGTTTTCTCATTATCGATTTTTAAAGTTCTATCCATAATCTCCTTACCTACATTACGGAAGAGCTTAGATTGACCTCTTTTCACAACGTCCACCCCTCTAATGAAAAGTTTACCCGAATTAAAGTTTGGCTTATCTTTATGCTCCAGGCCATAGTATTTTTTCTTTCCTGTAAATACCACGGGAAATAAGACCTCCTCGTATGCCATATTAAGGTAAGGTGTTCCATTGTCCTTTTCTAGCTCAGTATTTACATCGCT